AGCCATGTGCTGCTGGCAGTAGGAAGTGGGGTATGAGGGCTGGGGGGGTTGAGGGAGTTAGGGGTGGGGGAGCTGCCTGTGTTGGGTCAGGAGAAGGTGGGAGAGTTAGGTGTGGGGCCCTGGGCAGGTGATAGGTGCTAGAAATGGGGGTGCTGCTGCTCCCCCTGGCTTGAAGCGGTTGCCATCCTATCTCTTGCTTTATGTCTGCACAGCACCCAGCACAATGCGGCTCTGCTTGTAGTTTTGAGGGGCTACTGTCATACCGCTGCTAGTAATCTGCCATATCTTCCCACAAGCAGTGCGGGGGCACTGAATCATAACCCTGGAGAGCAGACTGTGGGCACCAGCTTTGCCTTGGCTGGGTGCGAATGAACTAGAAATAGATGCAACGTAACAGCCGGGCTCGTGCCTCTGGTGTATCCATTAGCCTGCCAGTTTAGAGCAGGTGCTGCTGTGTCATTCAGGGCTTCTATTGCTCATCCCATAGCCCTGGAATGGCTGTGGCTGACTAGGACATTACAATCTCTCCTTTTTCCTTTGTCTGTGTCCAGAGTTGAACTGAGTGGTCTGGTGCATGTAAAGCAGAGGAATCTTTGGCTCTCTGAAAGGTGAGACAGGCTCCTTTTGGTCTGTCAGCCATGTCCACCTTCAGGCAGGAGAACGTGGAGGACCATTATGAAATGGGAGAAGAACTTGGCAGGTGAGCGTGCTAACGGGGGTGGTGGGGTGGGGTTGCTGTGCTGTGGCCATGAAACGGAGAGCCTGATCGCTTATTGTCATGAACTTAAAACAACATTTCTTTTGCTACCTGAGTCAGATTCCACTTCTGGTCACCACACCCTGTCTCCTCACGTTCCCACCCTGCGTGTTCAGTCACGTGCGGGGTTCCCTCCCTCATTTGCGGTCTTAAAGTGTTAGGCAAGGCTGCTTTGTCTAACATTCTCCAGAGAAAGCGCTATTGGGTAAGGGATCCTTTATCTTCCCCCAGGGGCGGGCCGAGTGAGGCTCATTGAAAACTGGAGCAGGTTGGGAATTGTTGAACATCTAAGGAGGGGAGAGGGGCATGATAGAGGTCTATAAAATCATGACAGGTATGGAGAAAGTGAATAAGGAAAAGTTATGTACTTGTTCCTATAACATAACTAGGGGGTCACCAAATGAAATGAATAGGTAGCAAGTTTTAAAACAAACCAAAGGAAGTGCACAGTCAACCTGTGGAACTCTTTGCCAGGGGGTGTTGTGAAGACGAAGACTTAAACAGGGTTCAAAAAAGAGCTAGATAAATTCACGGAGGTTAGGTCCATCAATACTTATTAGCTAGGATGGAAATGGGTGATAGGAGAGGAATCACTTGACGATTCCCTGTTCTGTTCACTCCCTCTGGGGCATCTGGCATTGGCCACTGTTGGAGACAGGACACTGGGCGAGATGGACCTTTGGGCTGACCCAGTGTGGGATTGGTCCTGCCTAGGGCAGGGGGCTGGACTTGATGACCTTCTAAGGTCTCTTTCAGCTCTATGGTTCTATGTTCTTACGTTCTTATCTTTCTCCCCTAATTTTGTATGGGACTGGGCCAGTTTCAATTCTACTGTTGATGGGAAAGTTTCTCAGGTCAGCAGAGTGCCAGCCAGCCCGATAGGCCGTCTCAATCTCTTCTGCAGGAGCTGTTCCACTGTGCCTAGTTTTTTTGCATTCACTGAGTTGATGAGCGAGAGCCTGCAGTGACAGGCCTAAAGGCGTTTGTATTCCTAATTCACTCCTTTTTAGTGGAGATGTGACTTTCCCATGAGCTCCCATCATGCCCCTGTTTGGCTGGGTCTGCCCTGCCTCCACGAGATGACTGTGGCTTCCTTAGCATTCTTCGTCAGTGTCTCATTCGCTCGGCCTGTTTGGGGCACATTTCTGGCGTGAGTCATCTCTGCCTTTCGACAGACGCTAGGCTGTCTTTAGAACACAGGAAGAGGGGGTGGCCATGTTGCAGGCAAACAGAATGTCCTCCCTTCGGATGCAAGAGCGGTGTGTATTTTGGCTGTGCGCCAGGCTGGCGTGAAAGAGAAGCTCTCCCCAAGTTTTTGGTGTTGATAATTGAGAGACTATTTATTGCAGCAGCGCAAAGGTCCCGTGTGACGGAGGCCTTTGCTCCAGGTGCTGTCCAGACCCATAGGAAGACCTGGTCCCTGTTCCAAAGAGCTTATGGTCTAACACAGTGATAGTCGGACTAAGACTCATGAGCCAGAAGTGGTTCTTTAGCAAGTCCCCTGTGGTTCTTTGCAGCACATGATATTAAAACACTGCGAGATTTATTAACCAGTAAGTTATTAACCAATCCGGGTGCTTTTACTATGTTATTAACCAATTGTAGTTGATAAAATATTAATACTTCATCAGTCATTTTGCTCAGAGAATCTACTATAAATGAGAGAGTGAGTCTGTCTGTTCAAGACCTCCTAAATGAAAAAAGAAAAAGAAAAGAAAAATAATGGAGATGCCTATCTCCTAGAACTGGAAGGGACTTTGAAAGGTCATCTAGTCCAGTCCCCTGCCTTCACAGCAGGACCAAGTACCACCCCTGACAAATTTTTGCCCCAAATGGCCTCCACAAGGATTGAACTCACAATCCTGGGTTTAGTAGGCCAATGCTCAAACCACTGAGCTATCCCTCCCCAAATGGTAAGAGCTAGGACCACCAAAGTTGACAGAGCTTCCTCTTATCTTATCTTAAAGCAAATGAAGGGCTGGTTTGCGCCAGGGAGATGGGATGTTCCTGGAATGGGATTGTTTCTCAGAAAACCATACAGAAAAGAAACCGAATCACCAAGCAGGTGAAAGGAGCTGGCTGAGGGCGCCCTCCCCTCACCCCCCAATCTGCGTGTGCTCGAGCCTCCTTCCCCCAGAGGCCCTTCAGCCGAATTCTCTTTTCAAGTCTAGCAGCAGCAGATGGGCCCAGCATAGTTCTGCCTTTCTGGATGGCAGGCAAAGGGGTTTTTTTTGGTGGGGTTCCTCTAGTCCCCGGGAGCCCAAATGTGGCAGAGTCCCCACCCCCTGGGTAAAGGACTTTTGTGTCCCCAACCCCTCCAGCGGACCAAAGAGCATAATGGATTCCTCTTGCTCCCCCCTGGACAGGCAGCTTGGAAGGTTGCTGGCTACTGTGGTCATAAAGAGAAATGAGAGGGGAGGGGGAAAGAACACAAGATTTTTTTATTTTTTTTTAAAGGGAGGCAAAGGCGCAGCGCCTGGGACTGTGTGCAAGCCAGGAATCAGCTGATTCCTGGCTCACGCCGGGTCCCCTGCTATGCCTTTGCCTTTTTCACCGCCTGGAGATGGTGTTGGGGAGGGAACCAGCTTTTAATCACTAGCTCCTGCTCCCCTCCCCCCTTGCTGCCTCTATCAGAACGAGGCAGCAAGGGGAGAGGGGGAGCAAAGGGAGGCTTCAGAGCGGCAGCGGTGAGTGGACCCTGGGCTCCATGCGGCACTGCCACTTAGAAATGCCATGTGGGGCTCCCTGCGTAACTCTTTCTCCGTCCCAGCAGAGCGAGCTAAGGACCAGGTGGCCTTATTTCCGCCTTTCCTAGCAGAGGTGGGGTTGTGCACCGCTCCACTTTTCACAGCCCTTCTTCCTCGCCCGTGCCAGGCTCTTTAATCCACCCAGGCCGCGGGACTTCGCCTGGGGGAGCTAGGCGTCTGTTGGGCTAGGGACGCCTTCAGCATTTGTTCATCTCCGTCCCAGCAGAGCGAGCTAAGGACCAGGTGGCCTTATTTCCGCCTTTCCTAGCAGAGGTGGGGTTGTGCACCGCTCCACTTTTCACAGCCCTTCTTCCTCGCCCGTGCCAGGCTCTTTAATCCACCCAGGCCGCGGGACTTCGCCTGGGGGAGCTAGGCGTCTGTTGGGCTAGGGACGCCTTCAGCATTTGTTCAGCTCTGATGGTTTCCTCTCCAAGCAGGAGCAT